TTTTCAACATATAAGCCTTACTGCCCCCTGGTGATACGGCCCTGATGTGACCAGAGGCTCTCCGTTCTCGCATCTTGTTTCTTTCGCCTCGCAAAGAGCTTCTGGAACCAGAGTACACTTAAAGTAACACACACACATACAGAGCAAATAATATAATGCTTTTAAGGCAGTGAATTGGTAGGGAAATCTTTCAATAATATCCTGTGATTATGGTAAACTATGTACCAATACCAGACAATATAAATCTCTGCCTGCTCAAATCCCAAAGTGTGGGGCAAAGCAGGGTCACTGAGACAAAACCAGATATTTACACACAGATATTTACAGATAGTGACAGTGCTGAGAAGTAAAAACTGCCTACTTCTGGGTTGGGGGAGGTAGTAATTAATTACATTGACTAGTATTGTACACTAAATAGTTATGGGGTGCCATGGCTGCCAGTTCTGTTGTCTTTAAAAGAGCCAAAGGACTGAGCTAATTCTAAACTGCAGTGATTCAAAACATTCAAACATGTTCTAGAGATTATGAGTAATATTTTAACTTTGGTACACACTCATATTTTGGAACAATTTCCAAGGACGTACTGACTATAAATGTATCAAGATCTGTAAATATAAAATATAAATCTTCCTTTAAAATTTCCATCGATTTGCGATTTGCCTGCCTGCAAAAAGGTTAATCCACTTGGAACGTTTTCCGTGGTTGTGGACCTTCGTTCCACATCAAATGCATCCTGCCCAACATCAGCGATAGCCCAGTTTGTAAAGCAACGTTGAAGCTCTTGGAAAGACAGCAAATACTAACGCTGTTTGCTCCGGCGACTTTCTTTGAAGAGGACGAAAGCGACCAAGAAGTGAGGCAGCCGATGACGATTGACGACGAACCAGAAGACGAACAGAACGAAACCTCGTGAACAGTTTATTAGCAAAAATATTAAGCCCTTCGCGAAGGTCTGTCAGCTATTAACTGTGGTCAGACAATCGCCATTTCGCCAACCGGGTACTTTTAATGTACAGTAATGAGTCATGCGATATTGTACCTGTCAGTCCTGGATCGTTGTGATGCATTTCCGATGCGAAATGAGATCGATGAGATCAGATAGGTAATATTTAAAAACATGTCAGCTGTGGTGTGGGGAAAATAAGTTTAAACTGCCAAATCTACCAATTTTTTATGTGTGTGTAAAGATAGTGCAAGTGAGAGTCTGCTATTTTACGCGCGTCGAAACACTGTTATTCAAACATAAATATTTCGCGATCTAGATCGAATTTTAAAAATCCCCCCGAGGAAATTAAAGAAGAAAGCATGCTTTAGCAGAATTTGTCAGTTTGGGCGAAAAAAGTTTAATATCGAATGTCACCGAGGGCGTAGAACAAGGTGTTATTTTCTCACTCCTTTTGTTTACATGTTCGAATTTCAGGCATTCTGATTGGTCAAGAACGCAAAATGTAAACAAACGCGCTGATTGGCTAACATTATTTGCCCTTGTTACACGCTATATGAATATCTTAAACCTGTCTTCGCAGACGTCCGCCTTTATTACCAGCGAATCAAAATTCACCATTGTTTGATCCGCTTATCCGTTCAAGACCTCAAGCTCGCGCGAAATTGTAGAATGATATTAAACGTAAGGTATTTTGAAGATGTTATCAAATTTTAAACAAAATCTCTTTAGTTTTCGTGTGTAAATGCCAAAGTTGATTCATTTGCAACAGACCCGTGTAAGTATGGTTCGATTTCGGTTTTCCTCCGTTTTTTTCGGTTTTCTGGTCTTTCTCCAAAAGTAACATCGAGTAATTCGGTTTTCAAAAAACATCGGTTTTACCGCCTCACCCTAGAACTTCTCCCTTTGCTCAAAAGCTTGTTTTGTGTTTGGCGAGCCATTGGCAATTTGTCAAACTAAATAAAGTTTACTAATAAGTAAAATAACTTACAAGTTCCACGCTGCATTCCTTCACCGTGACGTCATAAAACATGAACGTTTCTACTGGCTTTCGACTGTCTTTTCAACTTCCGGAAAAGACACTCTACTGATTTCGGTAATATTGCCTATTGGTTACTAGCGTTCACAACGGTAATAAATATTGCAAAAAATATTGCGCACAAGAATCAATCCCAAAAGGGTTTATTGAAAGGAAATTTAAGAAAAGTATATATCAACTATCTCCTCCATGGCAAAAATTACGGTGTTGGCAAAGTTTTAACCAACAATGCGCTCAGCCTACTTACTACTTATGGTCTTAGCCTACAAAAAATAGATTTTTTGTAAATTGAGCGCTACAGTATGAGGGAATCAGTATGAAAATAACATTAATCCTGTTTCAACAGTCGTAAAACGTAAGTCATGCATTAGAAGTTGCAGAAGAACCACAGGCTAGTCCAAATACAATCTTCACTTTATCTTCAGATACTTTTTCAGTGATTTTTCTGGCTCAGCGGCGTCTTGGAAAGAGGCTATAAAAAGGGTCAAATTTCAGCCATGATATCTTCTGAGAATCAACTCCGATTTTAACTATTCTTTGAAGATATAAACATGATATAAGGAGCTTCAACGTATGCCTGAGTAAATTTCGTAGATGTTGGAAATAGGTCGACAAAAGATATTCATATTTGAAATTTTGTTAACATCAAATTAATGAAAAGTACGCGCATTATCTGCTATAATAAATTCTCTCTGACAGCAGAATTTTTGCTAAATACACACTACTGATCCGTACTCAAAGTGATATTATGTAAATATCTATTAAATTAGTTTGTATTCACACTAAAAAGGTTGAGAAAAATGGCCACAAGAACTATATAGATTATAGCCTATAGGAATATCAAAATATGTCATCACAAATACTTCGTTTCTTCGCAGTAATGCTTCTCTGTGAAAATAAGCACCCTGGTTGCAGGGACGTGCCAAAGTCCGGGAAGGCGGCCCCCAAATGCTGGAATTGGGGGAACGTGTTAAATATTTGGGAATATTGTGAAAAATTGAGGTCGAAAAAATTCTAAAAAACGTATTTTTAACCCCCTTTTATCCAAAAAAAGTTAAGAACATATTTTTGGACCTTTTGAATTTCAGTGCTCAATCAAATTTAGTTGGGGTCATTCCCAGGATCTGGCTCACTTTGTCACTATTAATTATTAGACATTTAATATAGTATAAGAAATTAGATGGATCGATGTATACAACATTTGAAGTCAATTATTCATGCACATATGTATACGGTTGTCTTATTAATCATTTTAGAGTAGTTGCTGCATGAAGAGTTGTTTATCTGCAAGATGTTTTTTTGCCAACGAATCTGAAAATAGTATCAGAAAGTTAAGATCAAAGATCATGGCCATCATGCATGTTGCAACAGAGCCTATTATTTTAAGAATTTTACAACATGTTGTCTGTTATCTGAAAGATGAAACTACCAAAAAAGGCCAAATTTAGAATTTGCATCGTAAGGAGGTGAGCGACTATATCTTGAAAATACATTGTTGCGATAGCAACGGCAGGATGTAATTATTCAAATGCCATATATCACATATGTTTTTAACAATAATTGTTCGAAAAATCCTAAATTTCCCACGTTTCAATATTCAATAATTTAAAACTAAGAAAGCCATCCGTGAAAGGCCATTTCTTCAAAGTTTTGTCCAGCTTCAGAATTTTCGCAAGCAAATCCAACTTTTGAAACGCAAATATCCTGAACTGATTTTAAATCGCCTTTCAAAATTAAGAGTACTGCGAGTAGGCTTAATATATATGCGGCTTGCCTTTCTAAACAATAGTACTTAGCCCTGCTCAGCTTGCGTTGCTAATTTAATAAATTAAGTCAGGGCTTTCTAAATAATGTTTAAATGTTCCAACCTACTGCAATTTTATTGTCGTGCACATCGTTTTTTGATTTAAACACAATAGCATTTCTCCCGATGTTCTTTTTCCGTGCTTTTCCATATCAACTTTATAGTGCTGTTCATAGTCATTACACAGCTGAATTCGTATGGCAAAATTATATATTCTCACATTCCGTTTTGCAGGTGCTCCATGTCGTCTTGGCGACGCGATGACGTTATCTTTGTAATAGTATTCCTTCCTTTGGCGACCATTTCTTGCATGAGGATGGCAGGATTTCCTATTACTTGTGCGTTGTTCGGTTCCACATGATCCGTAAGACTCATCATGCTCGTGCTTTCCTCGGGCGGGTCGATACTTTCCGAGTTAAGATTAGATTTACAGCAAAACAGGAACGCCACAATGATTACGAACGCAGACAGAAGCATGGAAGTTCCAACCACGGCCGCAATAGTGGTAGCCACAGGAAAGCTTGGTTTACTCCTTGTTCCATTCTTGCTTGTTGTGAAAGCAACATCGGTGCACAACGTGAGATAGGAATATATTAAACAACCGCTCAATACTCCACAAATTGCCATTCGTATTGACCTTGACGTAGCTACTCTTGGGTTAAGTAAAACGAGTAAAACCCTAAATGTCTCAAAATAGGAGCTAGATTTCAATTTGATAGCGTTATGACGATATTATTACGCGAACGACTCCACACGGTGAATGGTGTGTGAGCTAAGTATGTCTAAAAAGAAGACTGTATCCGTGTGATGTTGTCTTACCTCTCAACGCAGGTGAACAAATGTTTCGTATTCAGTACTGCTATAACCAGATGGCTTCATAGCGAAAACATTGTTGAGCTCATTAATATACAAGAGCCCAGCCTGACTTTGTTTCAGTAATTGAACATCATGATCCTAGCTTATTCTAGAATTGAACTCTAGAATTAAATTAAACCTTCTAGAATTAAACAGATAAGGAATAAAAAACCGGTATTTCAGGTGATTTGTGAGTACAAAAAACCCGCTAAACGGTAAATTATTTTATAAAAAAATATTCATAGAAAATATCAGTAATGTTGATTTTCTGTCAGCTGATCTCGTAATGCGTTGCCATCTATTGGAGAAAATTTCTATATATAATCGAGATGTAAAGGTCACACTGTTAATTTCAGAGAGTTAACTTAACTCCGGTGGAGTTATACTGTACCTCAATTAACTCCAAATGTGGAGTAAAATTAGGTTCAGAATAATACCACTGGAGTTAAATTAACTTCCTGAAATTTACAGTGCATGAAATTAAGGCCGTGTAACACGACGCAATATCTTGCTGCGACTAGTACTGCTGATATGGAGCAGCCATATGTTACCTAAACTTGAAGGAAGTGGTAAGGAAATTGTGAGCATAACCACGTCAGAAATTGTTGTCAGCTATGATGAACTAGCTCATCTTATCAGAGCATGCGTAGATTGTGCATGCTGACGTGTCAAAATATACTAAATTATTTCTAGGGCATAGTAGGCAAATTTTAAATTTATTGGTAGAATTTTGAGGTTAAGCAAAGGCCACATTTTAAACTTACAATTTGAGCATTATTTTGCTGCATATAGTAGATCGAAGATAAAGCTAAACATAAAAGCGCGCGAAATATTTTGGCTGAGTCGACAATGCCATGCAATGAATCAGTGACACGGCCATTTTTCTGTGCAATTTCTGATCCTGCCACAGTTTACTACCCGACATTTTGTAGAAAGTGCAGAAAAGGCGTTCCTGTGACGCTAAAATTTCAAACATTTTCCTGGGTTGATACCCGGACTCGGCCCAACCAAAACATATAACTTAAAATTGCATGCGCAAAATATCAATCTGACATTCTGAGGTTGAGATATGTATAGGTTATTTTGAGGCAACGAGGGGATATGTGATTTATTCACCGAGGCGCGCAGCGCCGAGGTGAATAAACACATATCCCCGAGGTGCCTCAAAATAACGTACTTATTTTTCACACTGCGAGGTCGCGTTAATGAGTCAGAAAAGAAATAATTCTCAATGTCATATTGCTTTTGCGATGTTGTTTTTTCTCAGTTTTTGTGCTGCAAAGACATTGCAGGTGAATATTAGAGGGGATTATTAATTGCAGGTGAATATTAGAGGGGATTATTAAACGGAAATTGAATAGAGTGGAATATTGAATATATTCCCCGATAAGAACAAAGGAAACCGAGCAGGGTGAAAAATAAAAAGTCGTATAATTAAAGTTACAGTGAAATATTAAAAGTTAATTATGGTTAAAGTTATAATATACCCTCTCTTCCATTTGTACACCTTTGGGCAAGCCTTTACAGCACCTGCATGTTTGGAACGCCCACAGGCGAACATTAATATAAAAGAAAAATCGAACCATCCATGCAGATATTATGAAGAGAGGGAATAAAAAAGGTTTCGCGGATAGAGCATAGGCACTCTGTTATCAGTGGATAAACTCAGTGAAGGACCAAGGAATATTGAAGATGTTTTCGCGGAAAAATATATGGAAGAGAAAAATTTGGTTACCATCCCGTATTTAAGAGGTTCAGTTCTCAGAGCAGTTCAAGGAAATAGCAGCCCGACATTCTTTTAAAGTAACCTTCAAGCCAACACGAAAAGTCGAATTAAGAAATCAAATTCAGCCGTCAAGAACTATTAGGAAACAAACACAGTAAAGGCGTAGTTTGTAAACAAACACATGCAGTAAAGGTGCAGTTTGTATAATTCCATGTGGGTGCCGAACAGCTGTACAGTATGTTGGGGAGCTCGCAAACCAGAAAAAATGAACACTGGTCAGTGAATAAAGTAAGTTTGACGAAAAATGATTCTGTAAAAGGGAGCCATGCAGTCGGCAGCTCATAGTGACGAGAGAATGGGCAAACATGATGGCGGTTTAGCAAATGGAAAAAGGAAGCGAAACGTACACGAAGGGATTGAGTCATTACGAGAAAAACAGTCCAGTTTTTGTCAGGTTATTTTGACATGGACAGTAAGAACGTGGTGTAAGAAGTATATAATGTCCATGGAGTGGTTACAACGCTGAATAAACAAGACTGCCATATCGCACAAGCATACCCGAAGAAGAACAATACATTTTTAACATTTTACTGTTTCTAACCTTCTATAGAGTTTTCTCCTGATTAAACCAACTAAAAGATAAAAGTTTGAAATGATCAGAGGTGAACCAGTTTAGGAAAACTATGAAATTGAAAACAAGTAACTGTTAATTAATCCGCTTGTTAATTTATTCCAACTTGTCTGCGAGATCTGAATGTTTCGAGGAGACAGTTTTTCTTGTAACTGATTGAAAGAGAAAAAAGAAAAGTTTGCCGGTTCAGGAAATTATTAGTTCAAGTTATCAGCGTTTATATTATATAGAAATACTGCTAAGTATTAATAATAAATGGATGTCTAGTGAACTCCTTTGCCTGGGGCTGAATTATAATAGATGGGAAATTTTTAAAGATGAGAGGTTCTAATTCCATATGGTTAGTCATGTCATGTTTGGATTTCCCTGTCTGTTTAATCACACATTCGCACAAATTTATGCATGTATATATTACGTTTTGCATACAACACACCTGTAGTCTGCATAATTATGTCAGATGCATTTGATTTATCAGATTTTAGATTGTATGTATCAAATGTCGCATACAGCCGTACTGAAAACGTATATTCAAATAATACATCAAAATCTACCTTTATGTAAGGTCTCAAGTATATAGACTTTTATGTTGATATGGTTTGAAAACTGCTGGACAATGGGTCAGGTATTCTAGCGATGGAAAAAGGTATAAATCATTGTCTTCAGGCTTTAGCTTGTTTATCATATTTAACACAATGTGTGTCTATTACCGGCTTTTTCAATAAAACATTGAAGTCGGATTTAACAAATTGTGAAGTAAGATTTAATTCAAGGCATACCGCTGTTCGGTTCAGATAATTGGTTTGTGAAGTTCCTTGCCTAAACTGCATGAACTCGCTGTTTTGGTTTGGGAACTTTGCTTTAATAATATATAGCCGCAGAAAGCCGCAATATTGGTCGGCGCACAATTGAGCGGTTCCGTTTATACGCCGTGAGCCGTCATGCAGTGCATGCGTGGAGTGTGCGGAGTGCATGAGCAATTGAGCATTAATCAACATATTCTCCAATAGCTATGGCTATGCGTTTCGTAAAACGTTTAGAAATGTTCATAAAATGTAGCTGCTTTACTTTTGGCCGTGTAAAATATACAGTCTTTAAAATTAAATATGTTCAAATGATGCATGTAGGCTATATAGCCTAATATATAAGAACCAAAGTTTGAAAGTCGCCAAATTACACAAATTAAAACAAAATCACCTCGTCCTTGGCTTAATACGCTCTGTCACCCTTATTTTCACGATTTCCCATGAATCATGATAATAATTTTATACTTAGCCTATCATAACGTTGCAATAATTTTAATTTGTCCTTTTTTCTTTTGCTAGTATATATAGTGAGACTTTCTGCTGTAAGATTCCCAATATATCTTTCGTGTTTTGAAACATATATTCGACATTCTCTTTTTTTGAAACTCGTTGTCACTTTGTGTAATTTTTGACTGAGAATATAGACTCGTTATAGGCCAAAAATCTGTGTGTATAAATACACTCCGTTCTAGTGTTGTCGATCTTTGAATGTATTGTTTATACAGATTGATCAAACTATCATCATGTATTTCAGCATGTATTATAAAAGGTCCAGACACACCGGACGAGATTCGACAATGCGACGCGATTTTTTAGTTTTTGAAAGTTAATAAAACAGTCATTGAGAGCAAATCTTAAAAGATATGTAGACCAAATAACTCAAAATGTTATAGCGCTTCTAAATATTTGGATAATTCAAACTATAGAATCAAAATTATCGGTCAGTGAAAATCGAACAATCGCGTTGCGTTGTTGAATCGCGTCCGGTGTGTCTAGACCTCAACACAGTCGTACCACATCATTGTGTGGATGAAACGTAACAATCTATTCTGAGACAGCTGCGGATTGAGAGGGATACCAGTATACCACTACATGCAAAATACAAGCAGAACGTCGACGTTTCAAGCGAAGGCCTTTCGTCCGGAAGATAGTAGAGACCTTACGATGTGGGATGATAAAGCGACGACGACGGCTATTCATACAATGAGATTCATAATATTTAAGAAAAAAATGAATAATTATTATTAGCCTATATACACAAGGTCTGGCCCCCTATACTTTTTGCGTGAAGCGTGAAGGGCTTGTTTTACTTAGCCGTGAAACGTGATCAGGCCCCCTATACTTTTTGCGTGAAGCGTGAAGGGCTTATTTTACTTAGCCGTGAAACGTGATCGATGATTTTCTTAATCCGTGACTCGTGAAAAGGCAAAATATTTTTACGTGAAAGCATATTGTGAAGAGGTATAGGGGGCCCTCATATGAGGTATTCTGCCTCTGGTATTCTGCAATCTGATTGGTTCTCTACTAGCAGGATAATAGCTTTTATTTTTTTATTTGTACATGCCTAGTGATATTTTTTGATTTCCTGCAATCTGATTGGCTGCAGCAGCGGGCAGCTTTTTACGATATCTTGACCGTGGTCCAAAAGAGTTATTTTTTAGCGCACGGTGTGACCAGATTTGGTAATTTTAATTACTTTTGGTAATATTTCGCGATTTTTCTGACTTTTTTGATAATTGAAAATTTTTGGTAATTTTTTAGTAATTTCTCTTAAAATTAGTAATATTTTGGTTATCACATGAAATTCGACCAAATACACCATGATGACACAACTTGTTATTAAAAAATTCAATGAGAACAGTTGCATGCAAGTCCATGCCTGCAAAGCTGTACATCCAAATTGCATGCTGCTGGCCCAAGCTGTCCAGATGAATCGACGCAATTGTACTGATCACCACTCACCCTGTGCTGATTGCGAGGAACCCAGGGCCCGGGCCCAATCATCGCGGCGCCATATTTGCATTTTGTACAATTGCAATCAAAAAGTACAAGTGAGAACGAAAAACATGGAAAAAACATACTTGCGATAGATGAACCAGGCGGAAATCGTAATCTTAAGATAAATATTAATGCCCAGCAGAAAATACGTAAAAGAGCCATAACAAAAATATAGTTTAAAATATTTATTAGAAAGCTAACGTTTCGTCTTTAACTTAAGACATCTTCAGAACAATGACATACAAAGCGGAAAACACAGAAATATGAATAAATTACAACTATTTACAAGATATTATATTACAATATAATATCTTGTAAATATTCTAAATTTGTTGCTAAATTTTCTTTTAAATTATCTGCTGGGAAAAAACATAGTTTCAGTGATGGAAAGCGTTTTACTGATTTTGTTTTGCTGAGATGTTTTATTGATTTTCAGACCACTTTGGTTGACAGCAGAAATTTAGTTATTTTTTCTACGTTTTGGTAATTTTTTGCATGCTTATTTAGTAATTGCCTTGCAAAATGTCTGGTCACACTGTTTTTATAGCGACAAACCAAGGAGTGAAGACAATTTTCAAACTCAAAACACTACCCAAAAAGTTTTAAAATCCACCCTATCGATACTAAAATACAGTGAATTGGCTTCAGTGGACTTAGTGCCAAGCCCGAAATGTACTTTTCTCCGACCAACCTGCGAAAAAAACAAATATAAACATCGAAAAACACTGGCCAATGCTACATGTTCAACCTCGTTCCCAGGGTCTTTCCTAAAGACCCTGGGTACGAGGTTGCTACATGTTTTGATTCAAATATTCCACATATATTCAGCTATTTTTCGAAAAGATACGTATAAATATAAATAGTAGGCCTACAACGTACAACTTGTCCTTAAACATAAAATTTAAAAACAACACCTTAAATGGCAGTTTAAAGACGATTCCTGGGCTTATTTCTGTCAAACTTGTTTTTATAAATGTTGTATTTTAATAAATGAACAAATTGTTTTTCGGCAACTATTAAAAAGTTGTATTAAGCATTTTTCATTTTTCATTTTTATAAAGGCATTTTTCAAGCATGTCCATGCTGTAAAACGAAACGGAAAATAAACAATTTTACTTAGTTTACAGTACCTTCTGCAGTTTTCTTGTTGAGTAGAAAAGGATCTATTGCAATGAAACTAAAAGCTTTTTATCCAGCTTAAATCGCGTCGTTTTAGCAGTTTGTCAGCCATACTTGCACCACAGAGTAGAGACATATGTCACTATTATACAGTATATATGTTATTTACCGGCTGCGAGGTCCGTACTGAAAAAATATTTTCCCGAGGTCTCAGAAGCAGCCGAGGCCGAAGGCCAAGGGACGCTTCTGAGGCCGAAGGAAAATATTTTTTTAGTACGGACCGACCTAAACGGTAAATAACGTGTTTATTTTTTTATTTGATAGTTTATGGTTATAATGAATTCCGATAAAATTCCAGTTGCGAAGTACATTTGAGATCAGTTGCGTTTGTTACTTTAGTGCAAGCACAGAATACAGAGTAGAGACATAATTATCTTCTCCCTCTCGCGCTGTTGCGAGGGAGACAGCCTAATTTCGTCACTCTCACGTGATATGCTCTCAACCAATAAAACACTAGAAAAATGCGACTTTGACTATTGATATACAGGGTGTATAAAAAAAAACGCAACCTCGGAATTTCCTAAGAAATCAATTTGCAATTCTTAAGCATAAAAGATTTTAGGCCCCTGGGAATTGAAATCGAATTGCTAATAGATCATATTACTGTTGTTGTGATTAAATAAATGCATAAATTTTGCTTTATGCACTCGCGTGTGCAGTAATTTTGACAGTTGTGCTATTTTAAATACCCAGGCGCCTGAAATCATTTGTCTTTAAAACAATGTCGATTTCTTGGGAAATTCCGAGGTTGCGTTTTTTTTATACACCCTGTAGATAATGAGTTATACTGTTATTCTAATGAGTTTCACAGCCATCTTCCCTTCGATAGGCTATGGTGTATCAAATAATGTCGCATAGTATAACTGAAAACATGTATTCAAATAATACATCAAAATCTACCTTTAAGCACAGAATACTACACAGAAGTCCATCTCCATTGTTTTTAGCGTAAGCGCTTTTCGTCATGATTCGTCACTCAGCAAGTACCGTAAACAGAAGCAGTCCCCCCCCTGGAAATACTAAAAATGGCGAACGTCCAGGGGGGTGACTGCTTCTGTTTACGGTACTTGCTGAGTGACGAATCATGACGAATAACGCTTACGCAAAAAACAATGGAGATGGACTTCTGTGTAGTATT